TTGGGAGCTTGTCTAGAATGCTTTCTTTCTTTTCAAAGTCTTTATATTACATCTTTATTCAAGAAAGGAACAAAATTGGTAATGATGAGTAAGTGGAACAGCTTTTTTTGTGGGCAAGTTCTTACAGTTTTTCTTTGTACATTTTTTATGCTTTTTTTGCGGTTTTTACAGGAATATGAAACTAATGATTTGTTTTCCATTATAACCGCTCGAAGACTGTACGAAAGGAGGAGTTCGAATGCTAAAAACGTTGTTTCTGTTTTTCATACGCTACAAGCGAAATTTAAAGTTTGTGTTAAAAATTGGTATTTCAGCTATTTTATTTATTCGCTTTTTAAGTCAGCTTAATCGAATCCGCTGATTAAAATAGTTAACAGTTTTTACATTAGAAAAGTTTCCGCTTCTGTGGTTGTTTGGAATTATTATCTTTCAGGAGCACTATGGTTATCATGTTGATGATAAAGTCGTTCTTTATGCTTTATCTATTATTGACTATATTATTGCTGATATTCTTAAAGTTAGTTATTTTTTTCACAAATTAGAGTATTTTCTTCTTTAAATAGCACTTAAGAAAAATGGAGAAGACAGTAAAGAATATTTTTGTAATGAACGTATTGCTGTACTTGAAAGTATATCGTTTTTTAAAGCGTTTTGAAAGGTTTTTATTTTTAGTGGACTGGTAACTACATAAAGAACATCCGGAAAAAAACCCTTACAATAGGCCTGGATGACCTTAAGGTTGCTTTGGGAGCAGACTTGGTTAGTTGCTTTATGGATTTAATAAAGTTATTCGAATTGTATTAAATTTTGATCTTTCTTTTCTTCATTCATCCCCGCTTTTGTAGAACTTAATTGAGCTCTCTGAAATGCTTATCAACGATGGTGATTCTGTTTTTCTTGGTATGCCATGCCACTGTCAAGTGGAATCTATAAAAGCCAAAGACTGGACATACAAAGGGGTGTTGTAATTTTAGTCGTTGCAGCTTATATATTACTTACTAGGCTATATTTTGTTTCATAGTGCTTTAATCTCTTTGGTGAAAAAAGGAATTTTACGCTTCTAAATTTAGGTTGCCTTAACTTTCAAACATGAGGAGGAGCAGTATTTGGAAGTTCTTGATATGATAACTAACGTATTTAGGCAGCGGTTCGAAACTGCTCTTGGAACTTCTGGCAAGGTTTTTTCTCTAGGATTTTCTAGCTTTTGTAAACATTTTTCACTTCGTTTCAACCTTTGTTAGTTCGTTTCCGGGCAGGGACAGGGGAATGGTTTTAGCATTATCTGGAAGACGTTTTTGGCAATGTTGTTGAAATTTATGAACTGACGTTGAAAGTTCAAAGACTTCTTGAGGATGCTATCGAAATGTCCGACACTCCCTGTGTTGGGGCAGGCATTTGGGAGCTTTGTGAGGCTCAAGAATTTGACGTTTATGTTACTTATATGGTAAGCTGCCTAGTTGAGTTATAGCTGAATTTTAATTTGGTTTTGATCTATTAAAAAGTTAGCAAACTTTGCTGTTATTAAATTTGGATGATTGGCAAGCGAAAATAAAATGTTGAAAAATCACTGGTTATAGAATCTTTTTGAACGTGGAGAAGACAGAGAGGCTTCAATGGTTCGTGCACTAAAAAACTTGTTGAGTGACTCAGCATACAAAACGTTTTTTGAGGTTGTTACCAATTTTGTTTTTTTTCAAACGGATAATAGCTGACAGTTAAACGGCTGTCTCATTTTACTGGTCTTTTCGTTTTATTATCACAATGTTTAGGTCGAAGATCGTAAATACAGTATTTCGCCTGGAGGAAAAACGTTTACTCTTATGGTCAATTATGTTTTGCCAAGCTTATTGCAAATCCCAGTCTTACACTTCTTTCGATATGTCAAATACACTGCTGTGAGCTCACCGTTTCATCACCTCTGATTTTTTTTGCTTTGTTTTAGTTTTATTACTCTGTGCAACAGATTTCTACTGAAAGTTCTTTTAGACTTTGAGCTGTTTAATCGAAGTCGCCGAAGAAAAAGAGGATTTGAGGTGTGCTTTAACATACTTCAATCATAACGGAATGCGTATTGAATCGTTATGTACTCCGGAGCTAAAAACACGTTTACGAAAGTTAGCATTTGGACTTGTCATTTAGTCTCTGGTAGTCATTAATTATTCCATCAAAATCTCATTGTTCTAGTGATCAACCAAATGGAATTAGTCCGAGTTCCAATAATAAAGACGATTTTCGCCGTATATTAGAAATACAGCGTAGTATTGAAGCTTGGGAGGGAGATGCGATTGGGTACAGTTGTACCTCTGTAGTAAGAGGTAAGCATACAGGTCTTATTTTCAGAGCGGTTCAGTAAGGAGTATTTCTTTTACTTCGTCACTTTCTGATTTCATACTTCACTGATAGTAAAATTTATTTCAGAGGGAGATTTAATGATGATTCGATCTCAATCTGCGACAGGTCTGAGTTGGTTTACATTCTTTTTATAGTGGTCTTCGTGCTTCCCTATCTACTGACTAATCGAAGAAGATGGAAATTTCTTTAATTCTGGCATTTTTGGTCTTTGGTAAACTTCGTTTAGTTAGTTTAATTGTAGACACTTTAAAAAAAGCTCGGAACGTTACTGATCGCCACGTCTTTCTTTTCGATCAACTTTTGGTTTTTTGTAAATTTCATCGATCTGCGAGACCTGACAAACCCCTCTATAAGTTCAAAGGAAGTGTCATGATTCGGAAGACAGAAATATTTGATGTGGACGATACCGAAGGTGACTTACCGTATTTGCTTAATGATGCATTAATTATGATGTTGTTCACTTTTAAACCTTTTTCATTTGTGTCTTAATTTTGTGAACATCGTCAATATTTTTTAAAAACTGCCTGGAATAATTTTTATGAAGTGTAAAGTAAATGTGTGTTTTTGTTTACGGCAGATATTCATCATAAGCATGCTTTCTTATGGTGAGTTTATTTGTGTATATTATAGTCAAATGATGACAGAATCTTGATAAAATAACAATTAATGTTGGTTTTTAGAATTCCAAAACGCATTTCGCATTCAAATTCGCCATTCGCAGGATTCGATGGAAGCATGGACTTTACTCTGCAGAACGTCTGAGGAGAAAACGAGCTGGCTAACTGATCTTGTGACTATACAAACAAAGAGGTTAGATTTGGCTTTCTTTTTACTTCAGTTTTTTGCTAAAGAGCCTTTGTTAGTTGTTTTGCTAGTTGAGTAAGTCGGCAAGCTTTTGATTTTTTTTTCTAGTATTCTCAATAGAATGTTAAGCAGCTCTCAAGAGGAGGAAAGAAAACGCTATCCGTTAATTCTTCCTAGTCTGAAGCAGTACAGGTAATTTAGTGTTTCTGCAGTTGTGGAATTACACGTAAGTAAGCGAAGTTATTTTTCGTAGTTTTATTGAACAGTTTGTTATCTGGCAGTTTTCAGATTTGCAGAACCAGATACTGACGATAATATTGTTTTTGAAGACTATACTTCAAGTAGTGGCATTCCAGTTGTAAAACATGCTACCGTACTAAAATTAGTGGAACGACTTACATATCATTTGTTAGCATTTTTTGATTTTTATTTTGTGCTGCTTAATTGTTGATTCTTTAAGTGACAAGGATTTTATAGGTACACCGATAATAACTTTGTTAGAACTTTCCTCACGACCTACCGTTCTTTCTGTTCCCCTCTTGATCTTCTTCAACTACTGATTGAAAGATTTAAAGTACCAACTCCTTATCAGTTGTCTGCAGTGGAACGTAATGGGTCTAACTCACCACCATGGTTTTATGATACAAAGTTGGTTATTCTGATTTCTTTTCTTTCCAGATATTACCAGTTTAAACCAAAAGTTTTTCGAATACTTAGGAAATGAAATATTCTTTTAGCTGTGAGTATCTTGCGCTTGCATCTTATCAGGAAAGCAGAAATTCATAAAAATTTTGAGGGCGCATTTTTGATTTGTATTATCAAACAATGTTTATGGCCTGAGAATTGCTTAAGCTGTTAGAGATCATTCTCAGTAGTCTTTGAAATTTATGGTCTTGCGGTGTATCACGGCTAAACTCTTGTTACAATTTGTTTTTCTAAACTGGCCGTTTTCAATTCTATAGTTTTACCAGTGGACAAAATTTAAAAAAAGTCTACTTGTCTGTTTTAGTTAAAGTCCATTTTTCCTGACCTGGTTCTGTAGTGTCATCCTAAAACTTTATTCAAGATCTCGGCTTTTCGGTTCTTCTTTTCAATGATTAGCTTTATTTGTTTTTCTGTAGCATATCTGTGGTAAGACCTAGTGACTAGGTAACTTCAGAAAACCAGTCAAAATCCTTGTTTATTCAGATAAAATGTTATGTATTATTTGTTATTTAAATAGTTAATTACTGTCAACTTGATCAGTTATGCGAAAAATGGAGCTTACGCAACTATACATGCTCAGGGGTTTCCCGGACAAGTAACAGTGGTTCCATGGAATCGAGTCGAAAAGAGTTACCATCTTTTCCGGAAAGACTATCTTCGTCCAATACAATTGAGGTAAGTTTGTATCGGATTTCTTTCCTTTGAAAAAGATTTTTTTTTCGAAATTTTTTCCTGGTTTAGTTCATTAAAATATTTGAAAATATTAGTGTTAGCTCCTTCCATTGTTTCACACATATATTAGGGTTGTATTAGCCTTTGAGAACATGTAGAAAAATAGCAATTATTTTTGTAGGTCGAGTGAGTAATTGGTTGAAACTGACCTGGTATTTTTTTGATTAAAAGGAGTACAGAAGCGTCAAAAATATTTAGTTCTTTCTCTTATTGATCATTCCTCAATTTTTGAGGTGCATCATTTAAATCTTGAATTGGTTGGGGAGTTAATGTTTTTTTCTCATTTCAGTAAGGCACTTGTACTTAATAAGACTTAAAACACACTCAATGGATTCCTGCTTTAAAAGTTTTAAAACGGTATTATTTTTCCTTGATTGGCAGTTATTTTACTGTTCCGTTATTTTTCCTTGTCTGGTCACAGTTTGTATGGAAATATGTTGTACTTTCATAACAGTCTTAAAATATTTTTGATTTGGTTTGAGAAGGTTGCAGCGATAGGGGATGAAGGGACAAAAAATTTTGGTTCAGCAAAACCATAGAATTGCTTCTCTCTCTACCTTCCCTTTTGGTGCTTAGGTTACTTCTCCGCTCCGTACAGGGATGGCAAAATTTTCTCTATCCTCGTTATCTTTGGCTCTTTAAAACTCCCATTTTTCTCGCCTTCCCCGCCTTTTAACGCATCTTTAGGGCGTCCTGTTACACTGGAACAGTAGCTGTTGCTGAGAAGCAACAGCTTTTAGTATGGTAGTGCGGTTCTCAAAAGTGATAATAGGGTACTGAGGTGACAAATATTTGATTTTACAAATATACTTCGTAGTGTTTTGCGACATCTACTTCCTTTATTCTGATTCTACTAACTTTTTGGACAGATGTCTATAATAATTTAGTGCCAGTCGTGTTTTGAAAGGAAATTTTTATTACTTTCGTGTGTTGTTACTAGTTTTTTTCGTTTTTTGTTTATTTTTTTTTTTGGTTTTTTTTTGCACAATCGTATGAGTGTGCTGGAAAGTCATTATTAACTAGCTTCAACTCGGCTTTTTTGCTGGTAAAGTGAGAACTTTTGAAAAGATTCTAGGCACATAGTTGTAGAAGAAGAAATGTTAATGTGTTACCCGGATTGTTATTCCACGAGATTTGTTTTTCTGTCTCGATATTTAGCTATTACGTTTGCTGTTTTACATTTGACGCGGAGTGAAAACAAAGCTTTAAGCTGTTTTCTGATGCGAAATTCAGTTAATTGTTAGGATACGAGAATTGAGTCGAAAGTTTCAAGCTTTTCAATTATTAATGAAATTTTATTAAGCATTCTGCTATTTTGACCCTGTATCTTGATTTTTTTTTTGTACATTTTTTGTATTGTTTTTCTGATAATCAAAAGTAGAATCCTAAGGTCCAACTTTATACAGAAGTATAGGTTAGCCTTTTAGCGTACTACGCGTAATTCGTCAGTGGGTAAATCAACACTGGTATGACTTCGAAAATGATCCTCTTCTTTTGGCCAACTTGACTTTCTTCTTGAAGGAGACAGATCATCAAGCGAATGTGAAGAACTCATACAAAGATTGGTGTAGAAATATACAAGTAAGACATTGAAAAGTGCACATAAAAAGATTTATTGCACATAGGTAGTGTTTTTTTGATAGTGTTAATGGCGGTTGCTCGCGGATTCTGTTCGCAATGGTGTTTTCTTTAGTTGTAACTTGTTCATTGCCAGTGATCTATTTCTAGACTTTTCAGTCTTGTATCGCAAGGAAAACTCGTCATGAGACTCTTTCGCAAAACCGCTCAACGACCTCAGAAGGCGCTATCAATCAGGTTGAAGAGCAATCACCATCCTCTTCTCCTCGACTGTTTCTTCCCTGTACACCTCCAGTTAGTTATTTTTTAGTACTTCAACTTACAACAGTACTGAAAGTCTAGTAAAAGTCTGGAAAATCTTGAGCACTGCTGTTTCTGCGGAATTTATAGGTGCTTTGGCACACTGCTAAAAAGGGAGAGGTGGCCACTTATGACTTGCTGTCACTGCACCCTTTGGAGATTGGTCGTCAGTTGACACTGGTTGAATTTGACTTGTACCGTGCAATAAAGCCAATAGAGCTGGTTGGGTCAGCTTGGACTAAGAGGGACAAGGATCGTAGGAGTCCTCAGTTGCTTAGACTTATTGAACATAGTACTATGGTAGTTACATTTGACATCTGTCTCTTCTGGGGCTTGAATATTGATTTTTTATTAGGAGGCTTGAAATCAGTTTTTGAATAGTTTTGCCAATTGACCCAGAGTCTCCGGCGTTATTGTTTTTAGCCTTGTTCTTCCGGAGTTAGATATCTCTTAAAAAATTCTTTTCAGGAAGAATTTTTGAGAAGTAAAAATTTTTATGAAGAAGCAGCAGAGTGACGCGGACTTTAGTTTTGTTTTCAGCTAACATACTGGGTTGCTCGTTCAATCGTGGAAACTCCATCACTAGAGGAACGAGTAGAAATGTTTTCAAGGGTTTTGGAGATTATGATGGTTTTTGAGGAATTGAATAATTTTACAGGCCTTGTCGCGTTGTATTCTGCTTTAAATAGCTGCTCGGTTTATCGCCTACGAGCAACTTGGGAGGTTAGTTAAGTTAACTGTGTATTTGGCTTATAAATGGTAGAACAAACCTTTTTGCATTTTATAAACGTGCTATTTTTCTTTCTATCCTACTTCTTACGGGTCTTCTTCTACATATATTCGACTTCATTAATCATTTTATTGAAAAGGTTTTCAGCGGCTAGACCGTGAAAAGCAGTCTGCTTATGAAAAATTTAAGAAACTGTGCAACCCTCATTGGAAGGAAATGATTGAACGACTTCGTAGCATAAATCCCCCTTGTGTTCCATTTTTTGGTAATTATTTATAGCTTGCCTGTTCATTGGCATTAACAAAAAATAGATTATAACTTATAGTCATTGTTTTTTTGTTTTTTTGTTAATCAGTATTACAGAACTTTGCTTTTATAGATCACTGGTAGACTATAAAGTTAGAATTTTTTGGCATTGTTTACTTAATTTTAAGGTCACTATTTGTCAAAAATATTTTTTTACGAGGAAGGCAACAGCACTTTTGTCCAGAATCACGATGTTGATCTGACACATGAACAGGTCTTATATTCTGCTCTTACCTAAAAAATTGTTATCCTTCAAGTTCTTGTCAATTTTAATGCAGTTTAAGGACATTATCTCGGTAAAGCTTCTACCGTTGTTGATTACCGCAAAGCTACCGTTATAATAAGGTATTAATATTAAGATATAGTAAAAAAATTTACAGGTGGGTAAAGAAAATTTACCGATATCTGCCTGTGTTAATAAGAAGATTTTGGTGTCTTTTGTAAAATGCCGTCGTGTGGCTGCAATTATCAGCGACATTCAGATGTATCAAAATCAGCCTTATGCATTTGAAGTCGAGCCGTCTATTCGGGTTGGTTAATTGGTGGACCCATTTGCCTGTTTTTCTATTGTTTACCTACTTATTTCGTACTTTCTTATCTCTTTTTTTTCTGGTTTTTTTTTTTTAGAGTTCAAATAATGGTAACGTTTATAATTTTACGGAAGAGAACCGGAAAAGAGTAACCGAATAACAGAGTAGGGTTTTGGAAATATACTACGGGGGTTTTAATGTTGTTATCAAGTATATTCTTTTTATTTGAGCCAGTGATGTATCGGAATTGGAACTAAAATTGTGAATTTAACTCTCAATTTTTTTTCTGCTTTAAATGGCAGAAATCATTTATCACTCTTGGCTGTCAGAAAAATTCAGCAGTGTTTTTCAAGAAGAAAACTTGACAGTTCTATCAAATTATGTCCTGTGCGAACGGTACAAATCAACTAAATGAAGTTCTTGATCCAGTCTTTCTTCCCTTTTCTTTAACAAAGGAGAACATCAATCTGGTGGTGAACAATCGACCTAAACTTCACTTTTTCAATACAAATTGGTTGAAAAACTTGTGCTAATCTTTCTTTTGGTTGAACTGCAGTATCTATGGAGAGGGTCTGTTACCAGTATTTTGTAGGAAAGCAGCAGATCCCGCTCTAATTCACATTGACGATTTCTTTTCATTTGTTAGCCAAGTTTTTGATAATTTTTTCATAATTCACTGGTCATGACAAAGTTCATGAATATCTTTTTTGTTTTTTCTCGTTTCTAGTCGGTGTTTGCGGCATCAATTTTCGTTCATTGAATTGGTTTTTCATGGAGTAGATAGCTTTATAGTGTTTTTTTGTAATTTTTAGATAGAAATGGTAGTTAAAAGTCTAAGAGTTTTTGAGCTTTACAGTTTTCAGGCAATGTCTTTTTTGATAAAACTGCGTTAAAATGTTTGTAGCTTTTGTGAAAAATTACATAGCCTAACTTGTTCGGACTGGGTAGGAGGTTATTCCGGAAGCTTAATGTGTTTTAGCACCGATATCTTTCTTCGTTGCCTTTTCGCATCTGCGACTGCAGTATTTATCGTTTATTTGTCTTACAAATGGACTGTTGAGCCACTTTTTTGCATTGCTCTTCTTCATTGCGTCAGAACTTTTCGTTTTTTTTTTCTCTTTTTCGATCGTTAGTAATAATGGTCAGTTTTTTGGATTTTATCTTTAAGTCTGTTTTTAAATTTTTCTCAGGGCTTGTAGTCAAACTTTTAGGTTTGTCATGATTTCATTGGGAATATCATTTTCCGATTATCTTAATTCGGTAGTTTTTTCATTATTTCTCAGCAGAAAATACATTATTTACACAGATGTAATACTTCAGAAGGCGAATACCGAGAGCAGAGTCGTATATTTTGAAGCTTGTCTAGACTTTAAATTACATTTTTGTTATTGTTCATCTTGAAAATTCAATTGTAGTTGGCTGTTTTGCAATCGACGTGACTTCTGCCGTTGCTTGAATTAATCGGCTGATTGAAGACTGACGTAGGAATGTCATAAAAGTAGTAGTAGCAAGGATGTACTTAATCATTTGGACGGATGAATTATGAAATTGCTTTCCATTTACTTGTTCGGAGATATAGGAGAAGTTCTGGTCACGATTTGATAAGCTAAGCCGAGAGTTGCATATGATTAACGAGCATTTTTAGTGCCAAATATTTCCAACAATTCATTATACAGTCGACTTGAATTCATTAGGTTTCCTTTAAATAACTCAATTCACAACTTTTTGTTGATATATTCAGCACGCAAGGTAGCATTGAACAGCAGCACGATTTGTATTTCTAATAATTTTGTCCAGCTGCCAGCAAGTGAAGATAGCACTTATTGTGTGAAAAATTTGTCTTATTGCATTTGTCTTAAAGAGTACCTCACCACCGCGCATTTCTCGTAGCTCAAGTTTTTTATGCACTTAAAATGAAAGGAATTGGAAAATGGATTTATAAATCTCTCCGTACCAAGTGATGAATTCTCAGTTCTGCTTGTGTTATAAATGCCATATTGTACCTTGAAGTAAAGTGAGGGAAGTATCCAGGCGTAGCAGTTGTTCTTTTTCTTAGAGCTTTGTTCGAATGACATCGACTTTCGGTCGCCCTAATCAATTCCACTTGCTTTCTTCGCTCGAAATTTGGGTATTCAGAATCGACCTTTGCCATGCAACTTTTTGCATCGCCTGTACAGAGCTTTTTTTAAACATTTTTAAATCGTGCAGTGTTTGGGGTTTTATTTGGTAGATAACGAGATCTGAGGAATTGTAGTAGATGGTGGTCGTGTCATATTTCTTCTAAACTTTGGCAAAGAATATTAACTTGTTTTATGAAGTATTTCACTTGATTAAGTACTTTGTTTTACTTTATCGTGCCTTTAATCCTCGAATTAGCGGAGAGGATTTAGTCACTAATAGTGACATAATTTTGGGTGAAATATAACAGAAACAAGCATGTATTTTTTGTTTGAATGTAGAGGGGATAGACAATTATTAGCTGATTTAAGCGGGGTTTATGGCCATTTTGAAATTCCAATGTTGAATTTTATTGGTCATCAGTCTTTTGCCGTTATCTATTCGTAAAACGGTCGTCACGACTCTGGATTGCAAAGGGGAAGAAGTGTCATAGTAGAAGCAAGTCCGAGACTTGTTCCTCGTCTAGAGCTTTTTGAAGCTGATTCAAGATCTGAACATAAAAGATTTCTAAACTTTTAATTGGAGATAAAGCTTTATAAGCGTTGGCTAGCTTGGAAAGTTTATGTTATGAAGTAAGACCTCGATTGGGATTATAGCTAAATTGTGATATTCTTTGACTGGAAAAGTACTGCTTCATCTTAAATCAAGTAGCTCAGCGGGCGGAGGAAGCAAGAAATACATGAGTTCGCAGGTTATGTGGTTTTACAGTTGTGTATTTGTACAGTTTTTTGAGTTATGAAGTTTAGATGGTAGCAGGTAGACTGGAGAAGTAATTGAGGTTGGCGGTGAAAGAAGTAGCAGATCCCGTTTTGCATGCGAAAAGTATAATAGGAAGTCCCATAGACGAAAATATCATTGAATTTGCAACTTTGGTTTTGAGTTGTTCTTTCTGACTTGATAGGGGAAATTATCTGATCTGTTTCCGTATTTTTAAATTTAATCCGCAACACTCTTCTAGCACTTCTCTTCGTTCTTTCTGGTTTTACTGATTCATAACAAAAGGTGGTAAAAGGAAGAAACCACAGGATTCTTTTTTAATCTTTTGCAAAACTGTTGCTGTGTTCTCTTTTTTGGTTCCTTTTGAATCCGTATTTTTTGTACTGCACGATCGTATCTGATACGTATCAATTTTTCGGCAAACTGAACGGACAAAAAAAGAAACATAGTTTTTTTTTGTTTCTTTCCAGTTAAAATTTCACTTTTTTTTGTGCTTCTTTTTAATACGCCATCAACTGTCACATTTAGTGAATTTATTTATTGCTTTTCTTTTCTGATCCTCATTTGCTTGCAACTGTCTTCCAGTCGTTGTACCACTCTTATTCTTGTTGCCTATCTACTTACCACTAAATTTTTTTTTTGTAAAATGGCGCATTTGTTTTGTTGCAGAAAATAATAATAATAGTAATAACGGAAATTACAGTTAACTTCGTTAACAGCAGTAATTGGCTAGTGACTGAAATCTGCAGCTTGTGAAGATATTCAATTTAGTTTTGTGTAGGTTATTAATACTGAAAGGATTTCTCTAATTGGGAGATCAGATTCAGATAATCGTATAAAAAGGGTCCGAAAATGGAATTATCATATAAAGGTAGAATAGCGCTCGATTTTTGTGGTCATTAAAATTTCGTTTCATGTTCTAGTTTTCTTTGTCACTGTCTGAAAAGCAATTGAGAATTTTATGATCAAAGCAATTTTAATTTCAAGGAGTCCTCAATTTATCGTACTTTTGTTCTGCAGTTATGTAAACAAAACAGCCCCATCTGCGTACTTGAACAGTTTTGTGCCTAATTTCGTATGTGATGACTGTTGTGCTTAACATACGTATTGTGCTCAGTTCGTCTGTATAGGTGTTGATGGTATCTGTGAAATTTATATTTTTCTACATCTTTGGTTCTTCCATTTTTTTACTCAGTTGCATATTTAAAAAATATGGAGATTGTGTTAAATGTAGCGACCTGGCTTTGTATTTTGGTCATTAAACTGTCTGAATAGCTCAGTCTTCGTTTTAGAATGTGAATAATGAACAATATTTTGAGTCTTATTGAC